ACCAACTCTCTCCGCCTCTATGCAGCGGTATAACACCTCTTCCAGCCGATATAATATCTACTTAAACATGGTGCTTCATGCTATATATTATTGCCCAATGATGTATGACCATCCTATGATGTTTGAGTAGATTCGTTTTGTCCTATGGGTTGATTGATGATCGTGATTGGTTTGAGTTGTATGTTTTATTTTGGTGCTGCCCTATGTTGCCCCCGTGTCGTGCAAGAGTGTGGGATTGCCGTTGTAGGGTGTTTCAATACATTCATAACTCGCTTATATTGGTTTGCATGAGTGACGGAAACACAAACCCGAGTAAGGGGGTTGTTGCGTATGGGAGTAAAGAAGAGTTGTTACTTAGTGCTATTGTTGGGTTTTACCTTAATGATTTTTACTGGTTGTGAATGCCTTCTAGAGTTCCAATCATAAGTGCATATGATCCAAGTATGGAAAGTATGTTAGCTCATGCCTCTCCCTCATATAAAATTGCAATAATGATTACCGGTCTAGTTACCAATTGTCTAGGGACAAATCCTTCTTTTGTGTCAAAAAAAGCTTTCTACTAAACAACTAACTATTATTATATTGCAAATTATTCGTAGTTTTATTCTAGCTAAGTACTTCTAGTTTTATTCTTGCAAACTTATCCTGTTACATCTGCGAAATAGTTTTATACTTGTTTTAGGTAAAGTAAATGTTAAGTGCGCGTAGAGTTGTATCGGTGGTCGATAGAACTTGAAGGGAATATTATTTTCACCTTTAGCTCCTCGTTGGGTTCGACACTCTTACTTATCGAAAGAGGCTACAATTGATCCCCTATACTTGTGGTCATGCGTCCAGTCGTAGATCCTCTGTTTGCAGCTACATGGGCGAAGTGCTGCCATGGCAGCGGTGTGAAGCTTCTCGGACAGTGTTGCCCAATTCCAGGTGGTGTGGTGAGGTGCGACACACGGATGGAAATCTTGAACGCCTTCCCTTGGGCCGGCGGTGATGGCACCGGTGGATGTCATCCCCCTCCTTGGAGGCGTGTTCGTCATGTCACTCGCTCACTTGGATTTGTAGCTGTCTCCGGGCAAAAGCCTCGATTCAATATTGGATCGGCACAATGGCGGTGTCCTTGACGTCACTCCTCTGTTGTGAGTATTGTGTTTCGAGACATGGATGGATCCTTGACGCTCTCCTCCGGTGTTTGTCACTGTTTCTTTGATCCACACCCGTCATCTGTGTGTCCAAGACGACGTCTTCCTCGGATTGGATCGAGTCATGCCACCCTCTTGCCACTCCCTATTAGGCGATCAGAGTGGATGGTGCGTCGACAAGTGAAGTTCTGCGGAAGTTGGTGGTTTTCGGAGGTGTCTGGCGTCGGTCGAGATGCGGTGTTGTGTTTCAGATTAGGACAGGCTCTTTTACGTTGTAGTTTGTTTTGCGGTGTTGTCCATCTTTGATCTGTTCAGGTGTGGTGTTTGTGCCACTACCGTTGTTCGCAGCAAGTGTAGTTTTTTATAACTGAAATTATGTCTTCTGTAAAGCTATTGTACGCCTAGACGTGATCTTGAAAAAAAAAAGTCAGGAAACAACAAAGAAAGAAACACTTTAGGCTGGCAAGCGGTGCCAGTTGAATTATGGCTGTAACAGCCCCAACACGTTATGCGGAAACAAAATCTGATGGTCAAAAAACCGAATTGTGTAAATTATTGATCAAAAATTAAATAAAGGCACAAAAACATTTAAGATGCACCTACTTGGGATGGATAATCTTTATTTAATTCATACAAAAATGTCTGAATCGAACTAATAATAATTTAAACTAAGAATGAAAAGAGCAGCATAAAAGCGACGTATTAGGGCAGTCTTCATGGATGTTTGGATCGAGGAAGCCGGTCTCAGCGTGTTGGATCCGATATGCTCCGTCGTGCATGACTTTGTCAATGATGTAAAGCCCGTCCCATTTGCAGTGAAAGCTTGTGAAGTCCCTTCCTATCATGTACTCCCTCCGTCCGGAATTACTTGTCATCAAAATGGATGAAAATGGATGTATCTAGAACTAAAATACATTTAGATACATCCATTTCAATGAAAAGTATTTCCGGACGGAGGGAGTATCAGACATAGTACGAGGTCGCAGATGTTAAACACCCTGCCTCATACTTTGCCTCGTAATTCACCCACTTGATAATAGTGAAGTTGTTGCTGCTAGATAACCGACCTGGCTACTGCGACATTTCCGGGCTTCCTTCAGCGCATCCAAGTCGTCCTGACGCTCTAGCTCGGCATCATACTCCATGTAGCGAGATACAAGATGAGCATCATGTTTTTTTTCGAGAGTACATAAAATGCGTACCTTAGCTTTATAGACGAGATAGAGTTATGTACAAGAATTACAGACGACGGAATGCACTACCACACACGGCAGACACGTCCACCCCACCACTCCACACGCTAGGCTACTACTCTAAACCATGTTGGACTCCTCTCCCTCTCGCCGAGGCCCAAAGTCTAATTTCCTGGTGGATAATCTCGGCTGCTCCCCATTCATTGGCGATGTTGCTATTGCGAAAGACTCTGTTGTTTCTCTGTTTTCATATATTCCAGCAGACTGAGATGCAGATTGTGTCGAATCCTCTCCGGTATCTCTTATCAATGCACTTTCTAGCGGACACCCACCAGTCGCTTAGTGTGTCGTCCGTGGTTGGAATCAAAGCTACGTCAACGCCCAACCGTCTGAAGCATAGAAACCACACTTGTCTCGCATAGACGCATTGTAGAAGTATGTGATCCACTTTGTCCTCCTCTTGGTCACATAGGAAACATGCCGAGCTATGATCTTGCAAACCATGCCTCTGTCTGCGATCCGAAGTCCAGACTCTGTACTGAAGTGCAAGCCACATGAAGAGCTTGCAAGTCATCGTAGCCCAACTACGCCAGACAGCCGAGGCACATTGGAATCTTACACCCCCCCTCACACATCATTTTGTATGCCGATTTTGTCGAGTATTTGCTGGTTGCATCCCATTGCCAGATCGGGGGTGAGCTCCATGTCTACCAGCACCTCCCACAACCTGGTGAACTGCAAGAGCTCCTCTGTATTCATCTCTCCCACTATATCTTGCGTCCACGCATGAAGATACAAGGCGTCCTTCACTTTCGTCCTGTTAACCACCTGCTGCCGCACTTTGCTAACAAGTAGCAGAGCTATCTCCTTCACACAAGCGCCGCTGATCCAGCGGTCTCTCCAGAACAAAACCTTCGATCCTTCCCCGACTTCCCACTTGACCAGGCTGTCGAAAGCCAACCTTACTTGCTTGTCGGAGCAGTAGCTTAGCCCTTGCCAAGGACACGTGCTGTCAGTGCGTTTCAGCCACTCCCACCTGAACTGAGGAGCATCATGTTGGCAGTCGCTGGGGAGGACAGCTTCTGCTCCATATACCTCCAGCTCGGCATCATACTCCATGTAGCGAGATACATGAGGAGCATCATGTTGGAGGTCGCTGGGGAGGCCAACTTCCGCTCCATATACGTCCAGCTCAGCATCGTACTCCATGTAGCGAGATACACGAGAAGCATCATGTTGAAGGTCGCTGGGGAGGATAGCTTCCGCTCCATTTACCATGAAGAAAGGAGTGTAGCCGATAGGTTGGTTAGGCATAGTTCTCATGCTTCATACGACGGAGTCGAGCTCGTCAATCCACTGATGGGCCTTTACCTGTGGCGGACGCTGCACCCTCCGTTGATGACTTGTTAGCAGTGGCAAGAGGTCAATGGAGGGTGCCCCTGACAGCTCCGCCCACCACTGCTAGGCTGTTCTGCAGTAGTGTAGGATTACACAACCTAGCTGGCTACGTCGATGGAGGGAGGGGAGGGGGGTCCTCCACGGCTCTGTCTTCCCTGACTTGGATGATAAGGCTTCCCGAGTCTTATCTGTAAAGCGCCATGGGCCACCATGCAGGCCCAGGGTGGAACCGACCTTGGGGTCCTCGGGCCGGCCTACCAGGCCGACAACCGACATGATGAGGCACCCGTGGGCTGTCACACCATCACAAATGTTCACAAATAATGCGAACTTGCTCTTCCACATTTTGGATCATATCTAGTTCAAATAATTATCTTTCACCGGTTTCTAACCAATTCCAAGGAGTTCGACATCTTCATCCATAAAGGATTTCAAAGTTGTCATGCTCATACTAGATTGAAAAATGTTGTTATAAACAAATTTGGCGAATGAAATGCGAAATAGAACACATGCTCTGACCACGTTGGGGGTGATAAGTTGTGCTCAAGGAAAGATGAATTCCCGTAGCTTCATGGAAGTTTTTCCAATATTTAGAGGTGAAAAGATTTTCAAGATCAGAATTAAACTCCAATGGAACACCATGAAATGAGACTATCGGAGACAAAACTTTCCCAAAATTTAGAGGTGAAAAGTCTTTCAAGATCGGAATTGATCTCCAATGGACACCATGAACTGAGACTATCAAAGAGACATACAATTCCTCATGAACATGAAGAAAATGAGTAATGTTAGAAAGACGGTCAATGACTACCAAGATGGTATCATTACCCTTCTAAGAATTTGGAAATCCAGTGACCTATTTATCCCATTTTCATAGGTCAAACATTTAAACAAAATGCCTAGTTTCTACACAAAAATAATTGATTCGCAATGTGTTGACAAGTAGTGGAGAAACATATATACAAGAACCCAACACATTTCTTCAATTTGTCAGCACCTCCTTATAAGAAACGGTCATATGACCCTATAATGTATTCATATTAAGAAGATGAAGTGGATTTGTGAGTTTCACCACCTATAAACATGAACCTCTCCGTCAAGAAAACAGTTTCACCACTTAACTACACTCAACGAGACAAAACAAGATTAAGAAAAGAATATATAAAAAAGCGGTCTGTGTGGTCTTAGAAGAATATCAGCTGTTGCCATTCCATAATATGACCACTTCATCTTCTTTATAATCTCATCACTCAGGCAGACCATTTGTTGCAGGTCATTCCGTTCTCATTGAATCAAAGTATATGTAAGACACAATGTTATCACCTAGTATAAACAAAAGAAAGGTTACTATGAATGAGCTAACAACAAACAGTCAATCAAAATGAATCTGCACTTCTACCACCTCTCTTGCTAACTAGTTCGCAGAGTCGGCAAGGCAGTGTATCAAGGCTCATTTCACGTGTCCTGCCGAAGTTGCCGAGAACACCACATCGCCTCCATGCATGGTATTCTGCATACGCTACCGGATCATTCGCAAGTGCTTTCACATATGATGCCAGTTCTTTAAGAGAGCTGAATTTGGAGGCATCAATTGCGGAATTGGGAGGAATGAAATCCCAGACATTGGGTGCACCAAAGTATATTGGCACTGACCCAGCCTCCAACGCATAGAACAGCTTCTCTGTCACATAACTTTCTGTCTTGGTGTTCTCGATTGCAAGAACAAACTTGTAATGTGACATTGCACAGTGTAGGTGATCCCACCAGTGTGGTGATCCATTGCCATTGTTTGAGCAAACCGGATACATGGATAGTGCCATGTCAGGACCACCAACATTATTCAAACATTTTCCGAAGGAATGGTGTGGCACCAATGAGAGGAAATCTTCTGCAAGCTTGTCTCTGTGAGGAAGACACCTTGAAGATGACCAATAGATAAGTGCATCCTGATACAAGACAGGAAATCAGCAGTTCAGAAAATTATACAAGATCGTATTATAGCAGGATGGATAGCATCTTTGTGCAAAACCAATGCAGCAGTGGACATGCAACTTATATCTTTCTGACAGGTGTAGCAGAAACTGCAGAAACAATTTGACATCATGTGCTGTTGTGTTCACTCATTTCCATATTATGAGTTGAGACCATTTTTGGTAGCATCCACTATACTACTCTTCCGGCTTTAAATATTCTACAGACAACTATATTTGATCATGTCAATCTTCTATGTTCTATTTGTACTGTTCCAACTGATGAAGAGCAGTGATTTAGCACAGGGAATCATAATGTCAAATGATACATCATTGGAGATACCAATGTCAAGTAAAACATGGTTGGACATACATAATGCATGGAAAGTTAAAAATCACTGCAAAGGCGATACATGTAAGAAAGTGCCTTAGACCATGATATTACTGTGTTGTGTAATATATACTGTGCAGAATTTGGACGTACATTTGTCTTTTCTGTGGATACATGGTAACTCCGGCTAGTGTGGAAAGATTTTCCAGCATATGTTACTTGTAAATCATCATTAGCATGGTAACCTATAAAAATGTCCTCAAAACCAGTTGGTTTCCTACTAGCCTCCAGGTCCAGATAAACACGAAGAGGCAGACCTTTCATTCTCTGCAAAATATGTTAAGACTACTTGAAGTTGAAGCTCAGAACAAATTACGAATTTAAGTCAAGAACAAAACAAAGTAAATGGCATGTATTGGTTAGTGAAAAGGACAGATGGTGTTTGATTCCACAAAGAGGTTGTTGCAGAATTGCAATTTTATGGCTACGAGAATGTGGGACTTATGAGTTATGGCCCAACCGAAACCACCAAGGTAACCAAGAGCACTTTGGTAATTTCACTGTGAGGTGAAAGAGCATTGACAGGCAACATTTGATAAGAATATAAAAAACTAGCCCCTTGCAGAAATGTTGATTCTTTGATCCATAGTTACAGCTCCCAACTAATACTCAAATGATTCTCTGAAAAAATCTGTATTAGTTCACGGAACTATCCTACACAAGCATTGAAATGCTGATTAATCTTGAAGATTTATCTTTAGCCTTTAGGAGATTTCTAGCCATCACCCTTGCACATACTTATTCATAAAAAGAACTTTATTGATTATCTGGTGACATGGTGCTAGGGTTGACATAAACTAAAATCATTCTGCTCTGAACAGGACAGACTTTATCACTTCCTCAATTTAGTTCAATACCATCCTCTAAGAACTCGCCAAAAACCATGAACCCCTGTCTTTTCAAAAAGCAAACCTGTGATGTCTGCCCAATTTGCCCCAACAAAAAAATGAATCCATGGAGAAGAGCCGAGACAATCAACACAACTCTCAACCCCACAAGGAAGCAAACATTTGCACCTTGTCAATTTGGATGACACTAAGCTTAGGAGTTGAGCTATCTATATGCACCAATTCAGCTCAACTTACACGGCTCGCTCCGGACTCATGTAACAAAGAAATGCCACTTTACCTCGTTATCACAGCAAAGACGGAGCGGGCTGCAGTACCTGCAGTGGCGGCGTAGCGCCCTCGAAGAGCAGCGCATCGGGGCGGTCGACGACTGCGGCGGCCTTGCTCCACACGCAGCTCACTCCACAACGGCATGTGTACACACCGTCGAGCGAGTCGGGGATCCACGTCCACCCCTTGACGAACACCCCCACGTGCCGCGTCTTCATCTCCTCGCACCTCGCGCCTCCCCACCCCGCTCCTCCGGTGATGGAAGCCATGGCAGAGGGCGTCGTCGCGTTAGCGGCGCCGATCTTGGCGCGGATGCGGGGGCACCCGACGGCGGCGTCCCAAGCGCTGAACGCGGCGAGGGTGGACGTAAAAGCCGACCGCTCGCGGGAGCCGACGGAGTCGAGCGCTGTCCCGAAGCGGCGGCTCCCAGTGGCGCCGGCTGCGGGGACGGTGGGGGAGAACTGGGTGGAGAGGGAGGAGGTTATAGAGGGGAGCTCGAAGTAGCCGGAGAGGAGGAGGAGCAGGATGAGGGCGGAGGCGAGCATCGGAGCCACGTAATTGATGCGCTTCGGCACGAGCATCGGGGGAGCGCGCATCCGGAAGCCTTCTCAGAAGCTCCGCTCGCCGGAGCGGGGAGAGATCTCGGAGGCGAAGAGGGAAGGAGAAGGAGGGGAGTAACGTACTAATGTAGGGGGCTTTCCAGAAAACTATCGGGGATGTTTCTTCAGGCGGCTTAGTGGTATTTCTTTCGTTGCGGTAGCTTTGCAGTTAGACCCTTGTTGTTTTAGTATTTCTCATTACGAGGCGCGGTGGTTGGACTGACTGGGTGGCGGTCGCCGGCGGTTGTTTGCCATTTCTGCGAGGCTTCCAAGTTCCAACCCATTACGGATGGTTGTTCTTGACTTTGACTTTCCGACAAGAAATGAAACGAGTGTATATCTGTTCGGTCTTGAATTTTACAGTTAGAGCATATCTCTTGCTAACTCCTTAAACTAGTGCAAAATGTGAAAGTTGATTGCACTTGTCCTTATTAAAATGAATATGAGTGAAGTTTGTTAGCGGAATCATCCTTAAAAACTCTTTATTTCTTCTTCTTCGGGATCCACATCATCTTGATGGGAATCCTTGGAGTTGTAGTCGTACTTGATGAAGTAGAACTTGATGTAGTCTTGGGAACCCACTTGACCAAGACCTTTGGAACTTCTTCAAATGCATCAGTCTCCTCTTGAAGCTTGTCCTTGCCTTTTAGCTTGTGGTTGTCTGCGTCCTGGATTTGGGGGTATCCAGCCCTACCTGCCTGCGGCCCATCGCGTGGCTCCATCGACGGCCTGGTATGGCCCAGCTTCAACATCAACACCGCAAGACCCTCGCGAGGGGCCAAGCCTCGCAAGGCGAGCAACGCCAAGACCCCCGAGGGGATCGGCCTCCTCAGACTAGCTCCTGAGGGGTGGAGAGTTCCATGCAATGTTACCTCACGAGGCTCAGCTGACATGAGCCTTGACGACCAAGGCCAAGCGGGCGCCACGCGGGCACCACACGGGTGCAGAACGCAGGTTTCCTCTTTGGTGCAAAGGAGGCAAGCCACAGGTGCGGAGTCCCGAGAAATCAGCCAAAGGTTTCCATTTCGGTGCAACAAGACCAAGACCGCTAGGACGGCAGGACGGAGGTCATCCACGAGCCCACCGCAGCATCACGACTAGAGGCTTTTCGCAGGCGAAGACTACTTTTGTCAGGATAAGTTGTACTACTTGTCCCCTTTCAAATCCGGCCGTTGTGGGATTCCTTCCCACCAACATCTGGGAAGAGGACCAATGCCACTATAAATAGGACTAGCCACCACCATAGAAAGGGAAGGAATAAGCAGAAGTAGAATGAGAACACACCACACCAGCTCAAAAACACCTCACCTCCTGAGGCTAGTTCGTCCATTGTACTAGTTCATCCTCGGCCCTTTGAGGCAATCCACCAAAACGCTGGAGTAGGGTATTACACCGCAAGGTGTCCGAACCAGGATAAATAGTTGTGTCTCTGTGTCTCTTTGAGCTCGACGCGCTAGGCTTAGGAGGATCGCGAGTAGGCAGGCTGGGTAGGTTGAGATCTCCGCACGCACCCCAGAGTTTGAACCTCTCAAGGGTTTGCGGATCCCTTAATCCGACATTTGGCGCGCCAGGTAGGGGTGTGTCGGATCCTCTCTTCCGTCGATCGATCCACCACCACTCCGACACCTCCATGGCCGACGCGCACTCCCCATGCTCTGCTCCCCCGTCATCAGCAACATGGTCGTCACCAAGACTCTCATCGATGGTGGAGCGGGGCTCAATGTTCTATCCGTTCAGACGTTCGACAGGCTCCAAATGCCATACTACCAGCTTCACCCCACCAAGCCATTCTCAAGAGTGATCGACGGTTCTACACACGCGATAGGGCAGGTTCGCATACCTGTCACCTTCGTCGAACGCAACAACTACCACACCGAGCTCATCGACTTCGACGTCGCCGACATCTGCCTGCCCTACAATGCCATCCTAGGGTACCCAGCACTGACCAAGTTCATGGCGGCTACGCACCACGGCTACAACGTCCTCAAGATGCCAGGAAGCAGCGACATCATCACGGTTGCGTGTCAAGAGAAGGATGCGGTGTGCTGCCTTGAGTGCGCCTTCCAGGCTGCAGCGGTCGAGAACCCTGAAGACGAGGATGGCGCCCTCCCTCGTGAGGTCGCCCCCAAGATGAAGAAGTTGCAGCTGGGGCACGGCTCTCATGAAGGAACATCACTCGAGGACGCAGCACTGAGCCTCGCGTCTCCGGACGCGGCACCTTCACCCATCGCATAGGAAGGCCCGCCCAGCGCCCCTCTCAGGCTAGGCTCGGGGGCTCTCCTTTGGAGGGCCTTAGACCTAGCCAGGGTCTCGAGGGAGGCGCTTGGGCACCATGTGGAGGCGCTCTTCAGAGCATGCTTCCCAGGAGAAGGCAGCAGACGTGAGGCACCAGGCATTCAGGAGTTCATCGACAAAGCAATCGAGAAGATTCAAGAAGGAAGGGCTCTGCAAGGCGATCGCCGCCTACCGTGAGGCGCAGCTCACTGCCCTGGCGAGGGTAAGGAGTTCCGCGTCTGCATCGACATCCCCAGGCTCAATGGGGTCGTGCCTCGGCAGCTCATCTGGCCATCTCGTGCGAGGGCCCACCTCACAGCCACGTCTGCATGCCCTTCGGCCTGCTGGGCGCGGCTGAAGCATTCCAGCGCTGCATGAGGGACGCCCAGACGGCTTGCGAGGCCAGGCACCAGGCGGTCCTGGCGGAGATGGAGGATCACCTTCAGGAGCCTCTCGGTCCCTCTGAGTCTCCCGAGGCTCGGCACCAGGGCGGCCCAGGACGAACGACTCCAGCGGCGCGCGTTTTTTGGCTACTTCAACACCTCTTCAGCAACAATACCAGGTGACATCTCTCTAGTTTGTTCAGTTTGGGGGCGCCCTTCGGGCTGCATCATCCCCAGGTCGTGTGGGTCCGTCCCTACGGCATGTATCCCTTCTGCATCTATTGGAGCCAGTTACAATCCTTTGCAAGCTACTCTTGAACTGTTAACTACCTGACTGACGCTTCGTCACTAAGAACATCTCACGCCCCTGCAAGCCCTCCCGCGATCGGCTCATGATTAAGGACTGGCACGACGTCTGTGCTCGTGTTCGTCCCTGCAGCGTCGCTAAATCCAAGCGATTGAGCTCTAGCTCACGAGCCAGTCCCCGTGTACGTCACCTCCCATGGCTCTTGGCGCCTTGTTCTCACATGAGCTAATCGCGGGTGGATGAGTGAGGGCGCGTGACCTGGTGCCCCCGTGGCCACGGGAACCGCGCGCCAGTTATTTTTCTTCAGGACCTTTGCATGAGAAGACTGGGCACGGTGTCTGTGCTTGGGTCTGTCCATGCAGCGTCGATAAACCCAACGGCTGAGCTCTGTCTGGTGAGACGGTCCCGTTCATGTCACCTCCTGGGGTCGTTGGTGTCTGGCCTTCTCCTGCAATAACCTCAGGAAACTCATTCGGCGTAGGTTGCCTAACCATCTCGCAGGACTAACTCAAGCATCCCCCATCAAGACCAGGCGCAACCCGCCTTGAGGTAGGGCCTCGTGAGTCCCGTGCTAGCTCACGGGTACCCATACACGCCTCCTCCAGCCCTGCCGTGCAAGCCACGTGTCAGGGCGGGGCTGTACACGCCCCGGGGGCTCTCCTCAGAGGGAGCCCCCTCCCACGCACCAGTGGAAGCACCATCCTCCGTGCTGGTCGTCGACACTGCCGAGGAGCGGTTATGCCCGTGCAAGAGCAGAAGTGCTATGCTCCGTGCTGGTGATAAACAACTGGGGGTGGCCTCACGGCCGCATTAACCTCAGGGAGCCTCCGGGCTCAGTGGCTAGCCTCACCGCGCTGCTCTCCCTCGAAAGGGTAGCGCGAGGGGGCTGGGCACGGGGGCTATGCTCAGGTCACGCCTAGCGTACCCCACCTCGCCAGGCCTCACGGGCCTGGTCTTCATGCACCCCTCCCAAGCAAGAGCTCGGCAAGGAAAAGGTATGATGGCCTGTTAGTACGTCAAGAGGGACTCCTGAGCATCGTGTCTCAGGAGCCTAACTGGTCACGTAGCCCCTCACCTCTTGGGCTCGTCCTGGTGATCCGGACGACCCAACGGTGGCTGAGGTATGCGCAGGGCCGGGCCCTGCCGACACAGAACGCCAAGGCCCGGCTTTCACCCTTCTTTTCAAGCCGTTCGTACGTCAAGGGGGACTCCTGAGCATCGCGTCTCAGGAGCCTAACTGGCCATGTAGCCCCTCACCCCTTGGGCTCGTCCTGGCGATCCGGACGACCCAACGGCGGCTGAGGCATGCGCGGGGCCAGGCCCTGCCGACGCAGAACACCAAGGCTTGCTCCTGCACCTTTTCCTAAGCTGTTCACACGTCAAGGAGGGCTCCTAAACATCACGTCTCAGGAGCCTAACTGGTCACGTAGCCCCTCATTGCTTGGGCTCGTCCTGGAGATCCGGATGGCCCAACGGCGACTGAGGTATGCGCAGGGCCGGGCTCTGCCGACGCAGAACAACAAAGAAAACGGAAAAGTGGAGGGAACATAATCTAATTATTACAAGACATATTGTTCCAAGCAAACAGTTTTAAACGCCTCCCCGAGGCATGTTGAATAATACAGGACGAACAAGGAAAAGCAAAATCACCAAGCCACCTCTTCAGACCTGGGCGTCACCATCGCCCGCCAGCAGAGCCCCGTCGCCAGGCGCGTCGCCCGTTCCATCGGCTTCGGTCGGAGGACCAACGACCAGGAACTTACTCAACATGGCGTCCATGGAGCTCTTCACGGCGGCAGCAGCAACGTCCTGGGAGTCAGAGTCCACCGGAGTAAGGAAGGGGGAGAGGTCGAAGCCGGCGTCCTAGAGATAAAGATGGCTGAAGACGCACGTCAGAGCCGAGGAAGAAAGTGAGCGTGCCTTGCTTTCCACCAAGGAGGCAAACCCATCGACAACATCTTCAAGCACAGCCAAGACTTCAGGAAGCAGAGCAGCAGGGCTCTCCCTCGGGGACGTCACCACCGCCTTCTTCG